GAAAAAGACCAGACAGAATTGGGAGAGGGTTTAAACAATTCAATGTCCTTTGGGGCCGGTTACAATCTTTCTGCATTTTCAAATAGCAGTGGGACATTCCCGGCCTTTACAAATTTATGTCCCAAGTCCACATAGGTCACACTTCATTGCCTGCTAAAAGACCACCTGTCCTCAGACATCAAAGGGCCCCATACATCAGTGCTAACAGGTGACTGGTGATGTGAGCCACATCTGCAGTAGTTTGTTCAATTTGGCAGCATGTGATTTGGCGCTCCTCCTGGGGACTGGTGAAATCATGGCAGCAGGGAAGGGTGATCTGTTATGTGTGTGTTTGTGTGCAAGGATAAAGCCTCATGTGGGGAGGGTTCATTACATGCGGCAAGGGGAGGTCTGAACAGTAAAGTAGGTCACACAGACAAAAGGCAAATGCAACTGTCTCATACTAGCAGTACATTGTGAATGGGAAAAGGTGAGGTACAAATTTAGATAGCATACTCTCTCTCTCTACCATGATAATAAAAGAAATATTGAGAGCAAAAGCAGTTACTAACTACATTATAGGCAACTTTCCAAACATAAAACAAAAGTATGAGGCTCCAATTATTATCAAACCTAATCATTATCAATGTACCAGAGATTCAGAGCATATTTTTGTTTCAGTGACTGTAAGATGTTTCTTTATCAGAAAAATATCAATTATCCTAACAGATCCTGAATGATGAGAAAGATTAGATTTTCAGTTAAAGGTATGTGTAGCTCTGTATCCAGATGAATTACAGAAATACATAACTAAGCTCATAATGGTTTGTCTACCTGAATATTATGTACAGTACAGATTACGTACAATATTATGTACAGACTACAACTGGCCAGTGTTTCTACCCTGGCCAGATGGTGACAACATGTGAGTTGCCATAGGTTATGCGCTCACTACCATATGGTGCATAACATGCCTGGTTTCACTTTTTCAACCTTCAGTGCCCAGGGAAAGTTGTTTACATCCTGGTTGGGTTCACAAAGACACAACCCTCAACCATCCTTTCTGCTTTTTACCGTGTCCCTGAGGTAGGTAAGCGACCCCTTCACTGCGCCATATACTAGTATCATGGATCGTTCCTGAAGGTTTACACATCCTTGTCAGGATGACCCCCTATTCACTGATGCTTAATAGAAATATACAACGATTTTGGTCAGCCACCCGAACAGTTGAAAAGTTGGAAATAAAGGTGTTGGAGTCTAGCCTCCTGAGCAGGCCTTTGAGCGGGTGGGTTTTGATACTGCGTTTTCTAGAGGTTATATCGCCGCTCCAGAGAAAGTTTGTATAACCTTCTCTACAAAATGCATTATCAAAACTCCCACCCGCTTGGAGGCCTGCACAGGAGGCTAGTTTGAATTTGATAGAAAAGCAAATTACCTGACATTGGTACATTGTACCTGTAACTGAAACCTGGACACCCATTGCTTTTAACATTCACTCTTCACTGTAGTGGGCATAGAAATCTGTATGCAAATTGTTTACATCAGAGTCTACCCAGAGTCTATACCCCTTATCACAATATTGTACAGTCCCAAGGGAGGCAGAAAAATCAATGGTAAACATTTATTGAGGTCCATCCCCAAATGGAAGGGCTGAATTGGCCACTTTGAGCAAACTGCGTGATGGGGAAATAGCAGCTGACCTACATCCAGAAGCAGCTCTAATGCGGGGAGATTGGTGCTTTTATTGATTCCCCGTTTCTTCCCTATCCTATCTGCAGTTTTCCAGCCACTAAGTAACCTAGGGGATGGATTGTTTTGGAAGATTGCTGCCTTCGCTTTCCCCCTGCAAGGGCAAAACGGCACGGTGACCAACGTAAATCTACCCTGGGTCCAGGTTAATTATCATCCTGCTGGCAAATCATTCCACGGCTTATTTCTGGTGACCCAGTACGTAATTTCCAAATGGCTCAGGAGCTAATCCTGTTGCCCTAAAGGACACCTGCCAAGCAACATTTTCAGCATTTGTAGAGCTATAAACTTAGGAGGAATGATGCAGAAAATCACAAATGAGAAGCAGCAAACCAGAAAAGATCATTAGGGGGAGATGACGTGTGATATAGAAATGCACACTAAGATCTTCTTGACAAACACATGTACATTACAATATGATGATGATGGAAAAAGTACACAGAGGAAAATAATTCTTTAGACTTACTATATAACTATAATAAGCTAACAACTTGACAAAAATTAATGCAGGTAGGTAGTGCAATACATTGGAATAGGCAGCTATAATCAAACGAAGCAAAAACAAAAGCTGAGGTGGAAAAGTGTGGAAATGGCAGGATTTCATTTAAGGCAATAAGGGAGACTGTGATCACCTGAGTGGTGTCGTGAGGTTCCCAAATTAATAAAAATGACTTGGGAAGGACATTTTTCTCATATAAGTAGGGTTAATTTCAGGTCATAGTTTTATAGATCTACTTGTTCATACTCATAGATGATTTATGGCATGGAGTGGTTATAATAAATAATGCATCTACAGATCTAAAATGGCAAGTGGAATAATAAAGGGATACATGGATGCAGGGGTTTTTCTAGAAAAATTTAACATGAGGGAGCAGATCGCAAGCATGGCAAGGGAGCGAAGCAATCAATGGGAGATCTTTTTTTGACTTTTCTAGTATGTGCTGTAGCTGTATGTGCTGTAGCTCTTCAGGCCTCGAAATTAACTTTTCCTCCTATTGTCCCAGCACTGTCCCAAAAATAAAATTCAATTGTCCCAAAGTGAGGATGAACTGTCCCAACCTGTTTTTGGGAAGTATTGTATGACTTGAACTTGAGGGCAACTTTATTTTGCTTGTGTTCACTCCCAGGTGCACTATAATTGCAGAGTAGACAGGGAATTCAGGAGGAATTTTTTGGATCCAAAATCCGAGACGCATAGCTAATAGACAAAAGAAATGCTAACATTCTGATATTGATTATTTTTCTATAGTCCCCAAAATGTCCCAAAGTGTTTTTTAGTTGCCCCAGCCTAAATTTTATTGGTCAGTGGCCATAGGACCACCTTTACTTTTGAGCCCTATTCTTTCTTTACAATGTCTTCCTTAATCCAATCCCAGAACTGAGTAAAATGGACCATCCCTTGGTTCATTTTTGCTTGGACTGCTTCCTTAGTTACAGTGATACAGCCTCCTACTACCTCAACTCAACCAACCTGAAGTAGGCCGCCGATTGGGCCGCCGATTCGTAGCCGCCCTTTCAGCCGCCGATTCGGGACTAAACCGAGCATAGCAGCTGATTCAAATACAGATTCGAAATCCCAAAAATTTCCTAAATCAACCCCAAAGAAAAACACGACTAGGGAATTGTTGCAAATGGTCTAGAATAACGCATAGAATATCAATTCAAAGATAAATAAAATCAAAAAGTACCAATTAAACGATAAAGTGCAAATTAAAGACTTAAAAACGACACCTACCGACAATATCATAATTTGCTGATGCTGGCCGCCGATTCAAGTGAATGGTCTCCACCCTCAGGTCTTAAACACCTTGCGTGAGATTAACAATATAATTCCATAACTCGTAATGACTTTCCATCATTTTATGATGATCCATGCTTTGGTGTTCTAGTAAGAAAAGTAACGCAAGCGACGTCGTCTTAAACTGGTCTCCACCTTCAGGTGTTTAACACCCTGCAGCAGAGTAACTATATAATTTTACAACTTGCAATGACTTTCAATCCCTTTATAATGATCCATACTTTGATATTCTAGTAAGAAAAGTAACGCACACGGCGTCGTTTTGACGTCATGTCGTGTTAAATCAACGAAAATGGCGGGAAGTTGTACCGTAACTCGTCTCCACTTATAGGTGTTTAACACCTTGCAACAGAGTAAACATATAATTTTACAACTTACTATGACTTTCAATCCCTTTATAATGATCAATACTTTGATATTCTAGTCAGAAAAGTAACGCACACGACGTTGTGTGGACGTCATGTCGTCTTAAACTGAATAGAAATGGCGGGAAGTTGTGGCAGTGCTGGGTCTCAGTTCTCAGGTGTTTAACACCTTGCAGCAGAGTAACCATATAATGACTTTCAATTCCTTTAGAAGGATCCATACTTTGATATTCTAGTAAGAAAAGTAACGCACACGACGTCGTTTTGACGTCATGTCATCTTAAAATAAAGAAAATGGCGGGAAGTTGTACCGTAATTATAACTGGTCTCCACCTTCAGGTGTTTGACACCTTGTAGCAGAGTAACTTGTAGCAGAGTAACTATATAATTTTACAACTTGCAATGACTTTCATTCCCTTTTTATTAATCCATACGCTGATATTCTACTCAGAAAAGTAACGCACATGACATCGTTATGACGTCATGTCGTCTTAAAATAAAGAAAAATAGTGAGAAAATGTACCGTATCTGGTCTCCACCTATAGGTGATTAATACCTTGTAACAAAGTAACCATATGAT